GTTTTCATTTATTCCAGATGTCTAAGCATGGTTTCTTATCATTAGTTGCAATCAGTTCAAAGATGTTCACCAGATCCAATATGTTTGTTTAAAAGTAAAGTTTTAAGAAAAAATGTATATATTTTTAAAACATAAACAACTCATATAGGTTTCGCATAGTATCCACAATTTCACACAAATTACTGTACGACTTGGCTACAGGATTTTTAAGTTCTACTCAAAATGTTCAGATTAGTTTAGACAAACCACTACAGAAGTTTAAGAGTCAGCTTAGACTCTGGTAATGGTATAATCCATCATTATTTAGAAAAACAATACTGGAAGCTTGTCCAGTACTTTTACGTTGAATACTATTATTATTAATATTAGTAGTAGTACTTGACTAAGTAGTAAAAGGTAAGATTAAGAAATAAAAGAGTGCATCTCCCTTTCCTAATTTTTCAAAACTTCAGACGAAACTAATTATTTTTTTAAAATAGTTTTATATATCAAACTAGCAAAATTTTGAAATACCCTAAAATATGTGAATTATGCTAATACTTGTTTAACGTAATATCAAGTATACTACACACCAGGTTAGTTTACTGTAGTTTTACTTTTACATACAATGGTAAATGAATATTTCCGTTGTAAATTTTATGAATATTTATAGTTCGACTTTAATTCAGCCTATTCCTTCGCTTTTCCAATATTTGTTGATTGATGTCCAGGGTCTAGCTTAATTATAATTTCTAGTTTTGCGCACTACTGTACTGAACTAGCTTGACTCGGCAACACTAGTCATACTTACTATCTACGAATTCTTTACACTCTTCTTTCAATTCATTTGTCTCCTGTGAAACTGCAGGATCGAGAATCCTTATTTTGTTCAATTCATCGAAAAAAAGCCCATTCTTCCCAAATGCTTCAGCACTCATTTTTTCTGTGATTATAGTTCACATAAAAGTTTCACCACTCAGGTAGTTTACTTTACTAATAACGTTATGCCTAACATATTATTTAATAATGAAACAAAAACGCAAGCATAATAAGCGCCCTCTTTTGATTTCAATGAATCTGGGCTCCTTTTTGCATTTTAGAAGTTCCATATGCCACAGTAATTAGTTACTGGAATAAAAATAGAATAAATTATTAAGCGGTAATCAATAGTCCAATTTATATTTTTGTCTTTCATATAAAATGAATTACTATATACATGTAAAATAATTAAGTTTTAATTTTAGAAAACAAATAGTAAAATATTACGTTTATATGTTTTGATAGAAATATAAAAGCTCCTCGGTAGCTTATCGGTAAATCTGCCGGCTTAAAACGGTAAAAATCGGGTTTCGATTTATGCAATAAGCACAGCACAGATAGTCCATAGTGTAGCTTTGTGCTTAACGACAAACAAAATAAACATGGAATTATGATATGCAGACACATTTTTTCTCTGTGCTTTTAGTTATGCAGGAATTTTTATAATTTGTTAGTCATAGCAGATACAAACTCTGCTAGAGGGGATATTGTAGTAACATAGCACTTCCGTATTGAAGGAGATCACCTGCTTTGTTGGCCCAATGAATGATGTCTGTATGTAACAATCAACAAAAGCTGTGAGAGTGCAAGCGTCGCGAGGTGATGCCGTCGAAAGTAGAAAACCAAGATTACCTGTATATTGAAGCTTCATTTCTTAAGTAAGTTTCATAAGGATATCTTCAAGTAAAGACCTTATTTTAGGATCATTGTGGTTTAGTTCCATGGGGATCAATCCCGAGAAAAAGGAGGCTATAGGACTAAACACCACCTAGTAGTTCACCAACTATGGTACTATCCGAACAAGTATGCACACTGTGTTTTCTTTTGTTTTTGTTGTAATAAAATTCTGTTTATTTTCTTTAAAACTTATCCAGTCTACTTAATCAATATTTCCTGCTTGTTCCTGATGTTAAATTCCAGTCTGTTTAAAAAGCTGGAAACTGGGGATGTTTGTACATATTAAAATAAACTGGTATGACTTTTTTCTAGTTTGCAGCTTCTTCATGATTTTTATCCTTAAAATGTATTATAATAGAATGCAGTACTGTTATGAGATAAAATGGAATGTAGCTACTCTACAGTGATAACGAAAATTTACTTTTAAAGAAAAGAGATATTTTTTTATGTATGCCTCAGTGTTCTGGTTATATACCTTTATCAAGAAACATAACTGGGTAGAACTGCAGAATCTATGTGCGTGTTTTGTAGAAGTACGATACTGCCTCCAGTGGCGGATACAGGATTTTGAAGTTATTGCTTTTTCACTTGTTTTTTAAATTTAACATGAAATTTCACTACATTCTTCCCTCCTCAAAGATCCAATTTTTGCAATTATTCTGATTTTATTTTCAAAAAGGAGGGGGGGGGGTTGTATTCGACCTTGGCCTCTATTATGTTTCTAGGGTCCGAAATATCGAAAAATAGTATTCAGGAGATAAAAGGCAGTTCATATGTATCCCCCCCTCGTGGTTCAGCAGTAAACCTGAAAGCTTATAACGCTAAAAAATCGAGTTTCGATACCCATGGTGTGTACCTGTTTTTAACAACAAACAAACAAGTTTAGTTTAGAAAGTACGTCTGGTAATAAGCTCTTGTTAGTATTCAAATAGTTATGAATATTGTGGTAAGCTATGTTTTTATTTAAACATTTCTTAGAGAGCAATTGACATTCAGACCAAATAGGTTCATAAAAGTAGTCCTAGAATAAATATAATGTTCGTTAATGTTAATGATAAAGAAGCATTGCAAAATATTTAGAAAAGGTGATACATTATAAATACGTGCAAGTTTTCAGTTCGCTCAGTAACTGAGAAGCTAAAGTATTCAAATCAGTGTTAGTTATGTTGAGTCACTCAATCATTTAGCCGTGAAATGATACAAGTAGGTTTATTTTTACGCTAGTTGTAGTTCCATTAAAGAAAAATTTCCGTTTAAATATTATTTGTGAACTTGTGTCAAAATGAATATAACCGGTACAAACTTTATAAAATAAACAAACTAATATTTTATTGTTACGTGGACTGGACTTTGCATTATTTTTACCAAGTAATTCTGAAGAACCCGACAACGATAGAACACGTTACAACAATATAACCAACTTTTATAAAGTTAATTTTAAGCACCATTTAATAACTTTGCGAGTAAGTAGAGTCGAGAAAGGATAATAATAAAGCCAGTCATGTTAATATTGTAGCATACTTTTTTTTTAAAATAAAGGCGTTTCTAGAAATATGTATTGTCGTTTAGATAGAAGGAAGCGCGGCGTTAATGTCTAGAGCTTTATATAAAGCT